ATACTACCGAAGGGCTGGGCGCTCAAGTCAAGTGCTTCCCGTAGATGTAGATTTACGTACAAGCAAAAGAACTACCTGACTGAGAAATTTCAACAAGGTGAGCGGTCAGGACGAAAAAGTGATCCGGCATCAGTTGCGCGCTCTATGATGTCTGCCGTGGACTCGCAAGGGAAACAGATGTTCAGTAGTGAAGAGTTTCTGACAGCATCTCAGGTCGCTAGATTCTTTTCCAGACTTGCGGCAAAGAAGTCTCTGTTTAACGATGATGATCTTGAAGAGGAGATTGAATGTGCCACCCAGGAGGCAACCATCGAAGAACTGACGAATGAGGTTTCTAGGGAACTTTTGCCGGGGCATCCCATCATGTGGGATAAATATAATATATGCGAAATGACCTCGGGAGGGAAACTCAACACGACCAAGTTATCGGTTGCAAAACTAAGAGACATTTGCGCCGGGCTTGACATTGCTGTTGATGTAACCATCAAACGTAAAAGACCCTATGCCGACAAAATTGAAGAGTACTTTCAAAAATGTCGCTGCAAAGCGTATAAGTAAAGCCCAAAGTTAGCACAAGGGTGGGGTAGGGGGATAGGAGGAGGGTACGTTGTTCAGTATCATGACCCAAATACCACGCCAAACCCTAACCTAAGCGTACGTCAATCGTTGGAGCACTGTCATATGGGCATTCCCCTTAGAGTCCATGTCACTAAGATGCTGCAGGGATTTTATATAAGTTTGCGCTCAGCAGGAAATTTGTTTTCCGGCTTGCGCCCGCACATTTTCATTTTCAAAATCTTCCGCCCCCCAACCCCGTTTAATTAAAAAAATGGAATGGGCCGTCCTTTGCCCAAAATATATTTTGTTTTCACTCACTTTAAATTCAAAGTTAGCACAAAGGAGGGGTAGGGGACTAGGGGGAGTGAATAGGGTATGGTTACGAGCTCTAAGCTATTTTCCACTACCCACTGAGCTGAGCAATAGCTAAGTTGTACTAAGGAGAAAAACGGGAAGTTGTCCCATTTTAACTCGAAACAAAAAGGTATTTTGAGCAAAAGAAATTGAGTGAATCACTGTTTAAATATTTGGAACAAAAGACATGAAAAAGTTTTGTGTATGTTTATATAATGAAGGAAAATCTCGATTAAATTGTTGGAGTGGCCATATAATGAACCGTTAAATGCACTGCGTGCAACATTGCATCAGTAAACTTCTTTTCCCCTCCCCTGTCAGATAAAAAAAATTAATCACCTGGTCTGGAAGTGACGCAGGAAAGATTGCGTTACCCCCACCATACCGAGATTTACGTCTTGCGCTCGCGAATTTTTTTTTATCATACAAGAAACTAAATGAATATCAAGAGGTTGCTCACTGAGAGGTAGATATTGCAACTTCTGGATCGATTTTGCGGAAAAGTGTTGCACAAGCTTAGCCTGGAACCGGCGTACAAGCTCGATGTCAAGATATGACCCTAAATTATCAGTGAAGCGTGGCAACAAAGCAATGGAAAAATTAACTGAGAACGTCAAAATAATTTGCCTTCAAACACCCCTTTGGAAGGTAAGCTGTCATCGAAGTATTATTTCAGGTTTACTGGGCAGTTTTAATGGGAAATGGCAGGGTTTTTTCATTGGTTTGTTCAGAAAGCCAGCTAGGGCTAGTCGAATTGTTTACACTTCTTGGTGAAACAAAATCTCTTCGAAAGGTCAAATTGGGTCAACTTGCATGGGGCCGCTCGCCTCAGAAATAACTTTTGCCAAGAAAAAAATTATATCACGTTCAAAAACAGCTCTTGTACTTACTAGAATTTAATTTTGAAAGAATTCTACATAATACCGAGTATGTTTTGAGATGTTTGAAAACGGTATGGAATTTTTGATTTTCAGAGTCTAGAAATTTCGGCTCTCTTCGCTTGCTCTCCAGGAATTCGGAATTACCATTGTAAGTCTAAAATATCATCAAGGTAGCTTAGCAATACCTCCTAAATAAAATTATAAACTAAGGAAAGCCATAATTTGTTATGCGCCTTCACGCGAGTTCGATTATCTGATCATGAAATTTGACCTAATTTCTTGTGACTTTTCGGCTTAAAGGGTGGTCGACGGTTTTTCGTAATTTTCTCAAAAATGTAAAAACTCTAGAACCTAAGACTTATATCACGATTCTTAGCATACCATAGGCTATCTCTGGACGAAATATCGAGGGGTCCATTTTTCTGACCTTGTGCCACATTTTTTCAATCTCACTCGGTCCCTACAGAGAGTCGCTCTTAAGATGTTTCTCCAACTTCTCGAGTTTTGGTTGCAAATTATCCACTTCAGTATCATTGCCGAGAACAACTCCTAAGATTTTTATTTTGGTCAACCACCTGAGGCCATATGGTTGATCGCTCCGTGTACGCCACGCACCCAACCACATGGTCTCCGTTTTTGCGACATTTAGGCGCGCTCCAGAACCGCGTTCTCAAATATTAATGGTATCAAAGAGAGATGCCAACGAACGAGTAGATTTAACAATATAGGTCGTATCATCAGCATATACCCCAACTTTATATCTTATTCCGCGTGCGCCGGGTAAGAGAAAGCCTTCTATGGCGGGATTGTTTCGGATTTTACAGGCGAGAGTTTCAACACATAAAATATACAACAAAGGTGACAGGGAATCCCCCTGTCTCTCCCCGCGAGACAAAGGTATCGCTTCAGTTAACCATTCATTAACGATGACTTGCATGTTAGCACCATTATATAGTGTGCTAACCCAGTGGCAGAATGATCTTGGTTTTGGT